GCTGTAAATAAATCTATTTTCTGGTGTGTGTGAGACCTGATATTATACGGGAGGAAGAAAAATTTGCAAAATTTCTTCATTTTAAAAATGGTGAAACTGCAGATCAGAAAGACCAGAAAGTTATATGGCTTTTTTGAGGTCACACAGGGATGAGTCTTGAGCACTGTCAATAAAAGCAATCACAATATTTATTCAGTGATTATTCATAGAATCCATGGAATTCAGTGAATATTCATATAATTATGAGTAATATTAATCGACCAATTGGTACCAGGCATTTTCCCCAAAACTGCACATATTTAGACTTTGTATTTTCATCATAAACCTTAAGGTAATGTTATTATCTATAAGAAACAGGTATGAAACCTGAAGAAGAGGATAGCAAATCATGAATTTGGCCATATTTCCATTTTTTTGTTTCTGTGATTCTGGCAGAATGACCATATTGAGTCAAGGGAATAGTATTCATTACTGTATCATTTTCCAGAACAGAGATGTGCCTTACTAGAGTATTTGGGGTCAAAGTTTAGAAGTGTTTGCAACCTCGCTTTAACAGTATGGGAAATAACCTCTATTACCTGGAATTTCAATGGAACTTCCTAATATACAAGAGAAGTATGACACTTGGGTCTTCCCTTGGCTGTATTTAATTCACTCTTCTATAGAATACCAATGATTCTCATTAAGATTTCTGCCTTTTTGTAACCATGATATATATTTTTTATGGAGAAGATTTTACTCTTAACTCTATTTAGATAGAATAAATATAAGCTATGGCTTAGGTTTTATGCCCTGGACTTAATATTTTTCTGATTTCTGTTTTGAGGTTAAATTCTCATGTAAATAGAAAAATACTCGTTATTACTTATAAGAGGAAATTAGTTATTGGTTTGAGTTTCTGAAGTCGAAGCACAAACTTTGTTTTTAATCTTTGTCTGTCCCCATCAGCGCCACTCATTGTCTCAGTACGACCAGGCCGTGTCCTGCACTTACCCTCATCCTGCTGAACCATTTCCATGTGCTGTCCAATTCCATCAGTGATTCGGGCTCTTCTCAAAGCTCTCTGAAATGGGTCCAGGTCTCAGGATATCAGACACTTTCCAGAGACAAAAGCAAGCCATATTGTAGAGTGGGCAGCTGTGTTCCCACCTCCCTGAAGTTGGCAGTGATGTCCTAGGGCAGGAAGGAATGCTTTCCGTTTTTAGGGGGTCTTTTCTTCATGCCTCAGTGCCTCTGATCTAGTGAACACAATTGTCCTGAATGTGAAAGAATTTGCTAAATTTCTGGTTTCTTGTTAGGTGGCTAGAATAGATTTATAAGACTTACTTACCCAAGTCTGCTGAAGTTTGAATTCTTAGCAATATGATTCCTTTTCTTGTAAGTTGAGCCGCTTGGAGAAAATTGGCCCTGTTGCCATGCAAAGAGATGTAAACGTAACATCTGCCCAAAGCAAGCTTGAATTTGAAACTAGGGCTTCCACTGTTCCAAAGTTGGACTGTCACTGCCTCAGGCATGTGTCCCGAAGGGCTCGTGTCTCTGCCATACTCAGGATAAAGTTAAGATGGAGACCAGCAAGGCATGCCTCCTTCACTTCTAGGTTCCCCCAACAGTTTTCTCCTCTTTAGAGACTGCATTGAAAAACATTCTTGTTCTGCTTTTCTGTTTTGGCTTTGGAATGATGCGATGGAGCTCAATGGTTCCTACCCCAAGTTGATGAGAGTAAGAAACGCCTGGAAGGTCAGTGCAAATAGAAGTCCAGTGTCCTCCTTGCAGGGATTCTGATTCAGTGCCCTCAGGTGGGGCCTGGAATGTGTTTGTTTACATGACTGAGATGTGCAGTCAGTTTGGGGACCCTCTGATACAATGGACCTTACAGCTTATGGGATGATTCTGTTTTGCTGATGAAGAAACCAAGGCACAGTCTGTAACTTGCCCAAGTTCCCTTTGCTGTAAGTACTGGAGCCAGATCTCAGGAAGAGTCCCCCTTCCCGAATCCCCTTTCCACATTTTCCAATTCAGTTGTGTAGGTGCTTTCCAAGTAGGTGTTTTTCTCCCCTGTACCTGATTTCTGCAAAACAAACAAACACACATTAAAACAGACAAACAAAAAACAAAACAAAACAATAAAACCTTCTTGAACTCAATTTGTTTCATTTAATACATTTCCCCACAACATGCAGTCAGCATTATATTCTGGCCACTTACTATTAATGTGAGATGCTTGTTTTTTTTTTGAGACAGATTCTCATTCTGTCATCCATGCTGGAGTGCAGTTGTTATTAGAGCTCACTGCAGCCTCGAACTACTGGGCAAAAGCGATCCTCCTGCCTCAGCTTTTCAAGTATCTGGAACTCTAGGCACGCATCACCATTTCTGGCTAATTTTTTGTTTTAAAATTTTTTGTAGAGACGAAGTCTTGCTATGTTGCTTAGGCTGGTCTTAAACTTCTTTCACTCAAGAACTTTTTATTGAAAAGTCTTTCATTTCCCCAATGAGAAGCACTGGTGTCTTTGTTTTTAAAAACTTTATATAACTGTATATATATGAGCATAATGTTTGAGTCTATATTCTTTGTATGTGATATACTTCTGTATACTTACACTAGTACCATAGTTTTTAAATGATTGTAGCTCTAAAATGAGTTTTGAAATCCAGCAGAATAACTCCTACAACTTACTGCTTCTTCAAGATTGACTTGCCTGTTCTGGGTTCTTTGATTTTCAAATACATCTTGAAATTAGGTTTTACATTTCTCTAAAAATTCCTACTAGAAACAGTAATCAGAACTATGTTGATGTAATATCCTAACAAAATTGAATCTTCCAATCCATTAATGTAATATATTTCTCTATTTAGTCTTCTTTAATTTCTCTCACCAATAGGTTTCAGGAGCTTTGTACCTGCTTCATTATATGTATTCTTAAGCATGTAATGATTTTGGGTATTAATCTCTATTATTTTTTATTGAATTTCATTTTCTAGCTGCTAATTGCTAGTATGGAGAAATTAAGGTGACTAAGTCAACATTATAAAGGTACTTATTAGGTACAATAGACTGCACCACTTTAAAATGTGTAATCCAATGCATGCTTACAAATGTATACACTAATGGAATTACTGCTACAATCAAGATATAGGAATTTCCATAAGCTCAAAGTTTCTTGTAACCCTTTGCAGTTCATCAGTCTTTCAACCCTCAGGTCTGAGGAGCCACTGTCACTTTCTGGCAGTGCATTTTTAACCATTTTCTATAAATGAAATTATACCTGTGTTCTTTTGTGTCTGCCTTCTTTCATGTGTTATATTAATTTTAAAATCCATCCATGTGAGTATTTTCAGCAACAGTTAATGCCTTGTAATTGTTGAGTAGTATTCCTTTGCGTGGCTATACCATGTCTGTTTATACATTCACTTATTGCTGGACATTTGTATCATTCTAGGTTTGGGCTATTTTGAATAAAGCATCATGAGCATCCACATACAGATCATTGTGTGGATATAGTGTGTAAATTCCTAGGATTGGAAGGACTGTCCATCTGATCTGTACATGTTTAGTCTTACAAGAAACTGTTAGGCAGATTTTCAAAGGAGTTGTACCATTTTTCATTCCCACAAGTATAAGACTTCCAAATGGTTTATATCCTCACTGATATGTGGTATTTTCAGTCTTTTTAATTTTAGCCATTCTCAAGGATAAGTAATGGTATCTCATTGTTGTATTGATTGATCTCCCTGATGACTAAAGAGTTGAGCATCTTTTCATTTGCAAATTGACCATTTATGTATCTTATTTTCTGAAGTATGTATTCAAGTCTTTTGAGAAATTGTTTCATTGTGCTGTTTATCTTATCAGACTGCATTATATATACATACTATTAAAAAATCTTTTGTTGGAGATAAATACAATTTCTCCTATATTGTGGCTTCTCTTTATGTTCTTTGAATGTTACCTGTTTTGGAGATAAAGATAGAAAATCATCAAAAGGTGATTATGTATATATACATATAACTACGTTCATGTCTAAGAATCATTTATTAGAGATATATGTAAGGATCTATTTCTGAATTCTCTTTTGTCTTATATTGATATATGTTCTATTTTTTCAACAATACACATTATCTTGATTTCCATAGCTGTATAGTAAATCTGGAAATAGGGAGTGAATACATTCACCATTGTTCTTTTATAATATTGCTCTCTTATTATTATTGATCATTGACATTTTCATACAAATCAGCTTATAAATTTCTACCAAATTGCCTGTTGGAATTTTTGTTAGATTTGCATTGCATCTGGACATCAATTTGGGTAAAACTGACTTTTTAACTACAACAGCTCTTCTGATTCATGCCAAGGTTTATCTCCCCACTAATTTAGGTTTTTTTTTTTTTTTTTTTTTTACAATTTCTCAAAGCAGTGTTTTGTAGTTTTCAGTGTACTGGCCTTACATAAATTTTTTGAATTTGTTTTTAAGCACATCATGTTTTCAGATGTTACTTTAAATGAAATTGTATTTTTATTTTATTTTCCAAACACTCATTCCTAATATACAGAAATACAACAGACTATTTATATTAAACTTACATTCTGCAATGTTGCCAAATTCACTTAATAGTTTTGGTAGATTTTTGTAGATTTCTAGAATTGTTTAAATACATAATCATGATCTGTGAAGAAAGATATCTTCAATTCTTTCTTTTCAATCTTTGCAATGTTTCTATTTATTTACTGTTCTTACTTTATTGCATTGGATAATATCTCTAGTATAACGGTGGATTGAAAGAGTAACAGCAGACATTCCACGTTTTTCTCTATTTAATAGAAAGCATTCAATCTTATTAATGTTACCTGTGGGTTTTTAAAATCTGCCCTTAGCTGGGTTGGAAGTGTTGCCTTCTGTTCTTATCAAGCTGAGAGTTTATTTTTTTTAATCATGAAAAAGTTTTCAATTTGCCAAATGCTTTTTCTGTGTATGTCAAGGTAATCACATGGTTTTTCTCCTTTGTCCTGATAATATACAGAATTATATCAGTTTTTTAAATATAAAAAGATTTATTAAATCAAGCTATGGCAGTTTTAAAATATTTTAAACTTTTAGCAATTATATTGAGATATAACTTACATGCAAAAAACTGCACATAATTAAAGTGTATAATTTAAAAAGTTTGAACATCGTATACATCTGCAATCAGGATAGTAAATATATACAGGCATGGTTGCTCATGCTTGTAATCCCAGCACTTTGGGAGGCCAAGGCAGGTGGACAGATTGAGCTCAGGATTTCAAGACCAGCATGGGAAACATGGTGAAACCCCGTCTCTAAAAAATATACAAAAATTGGCCAGGCATGGTAGGTGCATCTGTAGTCCCAGCTACTTGGGAGGCTGAGTTTGGAGGATGACTTGAGCCCAGGAGACAGAGGTTGCAGTGAGCCAAGAATGTGCCACCGCACTCCAGTCTGGGTGACAGATCCAGACTCTTTGTCTCAAAAAAAAAAAAAAAAAAAGATAGTGGATATATCTACCACCTCCAAAGTGTGCTTGCATCGCTAGTAATTCCTCCCTCACCTTTCTACCCCACCTCAGACAACTACTGGTTGGCTTTCTATCATAATAGATTAAGTTTTCTATAAATAGAATTATACACTATGTAAATTATTTTGGTTTGATTTTTAAATTCAGAATAATTATTTTGTGATGTAGCCATGTTGTCATGTGTATTAATAGATCACTCTGCTATACTGCTAATATTCCATGTGATGAATATATCACAATTTATTTTATTTATTCATCTGTTCATGGATTTGGATGGCTTCTGGTTATAAAACTAAAGCTTTTGTCAACGAATCTGTATGGACATATCCTTCCCTTTCATTTTGGTGAAATAGCAGTATCATATGGTAGGTACAGGTTTACTATTTTAAGATGCTGCCAAACTGTTTATAACATGCTTGTAAAGTTTCACATTCCCATCAGCAGTGTGTTAGAGTTTTTGTTTCCATACATGTTTGCCAATATGTGGAATGGTGATTCTTTTAACTTTAGTCATTTTACTTGGTATAC